TAATTAAGCAAAATTTATAATTAAAAAGCAGTGCTGTACTTAAATATGGACATGTTCCCTTCTCAGGGCACATATCACACTAAACAAACAAAAAGCATACCTTGTAATCTTAATCCAGATTGTATTTATAAATTGCTGACCATGGGCTTATTGAGGCTTGAAAGAAATTAGCAGTTAAATCTGAGTTTGGGAAGAGAACGTCAACCTCTTCACAAGTTTGGCTAAGTTGTAGCCATATCCGAAATAAACCTAGACTAGGCTAATATGAAAAAATGCTAAGAGCCATGACTTGGATTTTTAAATGGTTGAACACATCTCAGGAAGCTGGCGCTGCAGCGTGCATCTTGGATAAACTGACAGAGTACCACTCCTTAACACCTCCAGCCAAATAAGGGTTAATATTGCCCTCATGTAGGGCAGATGCAGCTCCGAAACCAAGACAGCTCTGGGCTCACGTTTAACTTTCTTTCCTAGTTCACTTTTTTCATTTTCAACTACTTTCTCAAATAGCAACAGCTTTCACCGGTGTTTCCCTGTGAGAAAAACTCTCCTCTGAAGGAGCTTTGGCAAGTGCAAAAAATATTTTAAAATATTAAAATACTTCCAAAACTAGCATTAATAACTTCTCTTAAATCTTAACGTGTGATTAAAGACCTTACAATAACTTTAAAAGGCAAAAGATGTGCAGTGAAATTAGCAAAATTAAAAAACATTCACTTAGCAACTTCAAGGTGCACACAGATTTCTAAAAACAGATCTGAAACTTACAAACTTCCTGTCAAAAGAAGTGTTATGAACGTACAGTGCAGGCAAGAAGTCAGCTGTACTCCAAAATACATCATAAACACGCCAACAAATATTTTAAAAATTGGAACTCACAAAATCAATTCTATGCCACTGCTCAACACAAAAGCTGATAGATTTTTTTGCATACATTCTTGCTGAAAAATCACTCCGATTTAATGATTCTAAGCACCAAAAGAGCAAGAAAACTGCTTCCTGGGAAAAAAAAAAAACTTCAGTCCGAAAAATCCAACACTTGGGATGCGACTTCCCCCACCTTTTTCTTCCTCCTCCTCCTCCTCGTCGTCGTCGTCCTCGTCCTCCTCCTCACTCTCCTCTCTGGGGCCGGGCATTTCGGGTTCCTTCTCGGACGCGGGCTGGGTGGGGGTTCCCTCTCCCTCTGCAGCAGGGGCCGAGGAGGACATGCTGTGGACCTGCGGGCGGGGAGGAAGCAGACGTCTCGGTCCCCCTGCTCCGGAGGCCCGGACCGGGCAGCCTCCGAGACTGATGCGACCCGTCACAGCCCCAGGGACCGGGGAGCCGCGGGAAGTTGCCTCCTCCCGCAGCCGGGACAGCACCACTCAGTCCCCGGGGGCTGCTTCCCTCCGGCTCCGCCCGCCGTCCAGGGATTCCCCGAGGCGGGAAACTGCTCCCGCCCCTCCCGCCGCCGCCCCCAGCCTGCGCGGTCCACCTCCCGGCCCCAGCTGCTGCCGGCCGCTCCGCGTCCCCTCCCCCGCTCCGGGCTGCCGTCCAAATGGCTGCGTCCCTTCCCCGTCGGCCGCGGCGGGGGCGGCCGGGCCTCCAGTCCCCCGACGCAGCCCTCACCACGGGTCCCGGCCGCCGCGGGCCTGGCGCGCGAGGGCACGAGGAGGCTCCGGGAGGCGGCGGCGGCGGCGGCCGACGCTGA